AGGTGAAGGAAGCCGACACCTCATCTTAAGCTCGAAGTTTCTAGACTCAGGCTCCTGGACCCTTGTAGTGACGCCGCCTCAAAGCCGAAACCGTGGATTTAGGGTTTGGGGCTGAAAGCCCAAGACCCTCTTAGGAGCCTTACCCCTAAACCCCAGACCCTAAACCGCAAAGCCCCCAAAACCCTAATCCCTTAGATCCTAAACCCTACCTGTGGCCCCAAACCCTTTGAAATAGTAGGTTAAGACCTCTTAATTACAGGGTAGAACCCTTAAAGCGGTAGGTCTTTGGATCCCCAGGTAAACCCTAAACTCTTTTGGGTGGAATCCGGGAGCCCAGGTTTTTGGTGACCTCACACACCAGAGATCTGGGTTTCGGGTTTAGGGCTACCGAGGATCCCGCAGCTACCCATCGAACGCTAAACCCTTTGCCTGAAGTTTAGGATTTAGGGTTAAGGGTTTCGGGCTTTAGGGTTTAGGGTTTAGGGTTTAGGGAACCCTATACCCTAAACCCTAAGCTAAGGAAAGAGGCCGAGGATTCTTCGACACAGTCCACTGCCGCTTCTGTCGACCAAGTTCAACAGATCCTCTGCAGATGAAGGATTCCAGGTTGGGGGCTTTATTTAGGGTTTAGGGTTTAGGGTTTATAGGGTTTGGGGTTATAGGGTTTGGGGTTTAGGGTTTAGGGTTTAGGGTTTAGGGTTTAGGGATTAGGGATTAGGGTTTAGGGTTCAGGGTTTAGGGTTTAGGTTTGGGCATTATTTAGGATTTCGGGTTTCAGCCCAATCTCTCTCAATGAAGGAATATACCTCGGATCTTGGGGAGGTCCTACCATATTTTGCGGTATAGATTCCTTAACTAAAGGGTATCGAAAGGTCCGGTCTCAAGGTTTGGGTCTTAGGTGTAGGGTTTTTGGGCAGTTAGGGATGAAGGATCGTAGGGATCCGGGACCGGGACCGGGGATTAAAGGTTGTGTGGGTTTGGGTTTCGGGGTTTCCTGTAAGGCCTAAACCCGAAACCCGAAACCCTAAAGCATGAGCCGACCTGCAATCACAAAGTCTCGGTTAAGGGTCCATGCGCCTATATAGTTTCAGTATGTACTTAGGCATGGCAGAGTTCATATAAATAGGTGCTTTACAGCTTAAGTCGGACCGTTTTGTCATTGCCCTAAGGGTCCTAACACTTTCGGGCACCTCAAAAAGTACCTTTTCTGAGACCCCAAAGAGACCCAAGGGCTCTCCCTACAAGATTCCGGACCCTCTTAAAGAGATACCTGGACCCTTAGGGTGTAGCGGAAAGCCGGAACTAAGCCTTCAACACTGTCTCCTCTCAAAGTGTCGGGGCCTCTTCAGGAGCTTCCTTGAAGCTGTACCCTAAGTCTCTTGGACCCCAATAGTGAAAGCCCAAACCTTACAAAGCCCAAACCTTCCCCTGGATCGAAAGCCCATAACAGCAACAAGAGCCTTAGGGTAAGGTAAGACCTGTACCCTAGTCTAGGATTTAGGCCCCTATGCCGCGCTAAACCCTACACGCTAAACACCCCGCTTGTCTCTGAGGAAAGAGGCCGAGGATTCGTCGACAGAGTCCACGGCCGCGTCGGCGGAGTCCCCGGTGGAATCTCCGACGAACCTCGCCAAACTTAGGGTAGAAGGCTCAGAGGCTTACCTTAAGGACGAAAGGACCCTTAAAAATAGGGGCCCGATACCCTTATACTATGAATCCCTATATGGTATATGAACCCTAAACCCTTTTAGGTTTCATTTCGTCCTCAAGGTCCAAAACCTAAACGCTAAACCCTAAACCCTAAACCCTTTTAGGTTTCATTTCGTCCTTCAATTAGTGCCGCAGGAATGAGTGCTGAAGGGCTTAAGTTTAACCGTGAGGTTTCAGAGTCGCTGGGTCTTGAAGGATTTTTCTGGCTTCAGAGTTTAATGTTTAGGTGTAGGGTTTAGGGTTTAGGGTTTAGGGTTTAGGAGAGGGTTTAGGGTTTAGGGTTTAGGGGTCAAGGGTTTAGGGTTTAGGGTTTAGGGTTTAGGGGTTTAGGGTTTAGGGTTTATTTAGGGCTTAGAGTTTAGATGGGGTTAGGGTCTGGGGTTGGTTTAGAAGACCTTGCAGGCTAAAGATGTACATGATCCCGAAGGCTCCTGCCTGATTCTACAGGTAAGTGCCTGAAAGAAACGGTGGCGCATTTACCCATCTTTGTCTTGTAGATCAGGGTTACACACTTGCACCTTGCAAGAACAACCATATACTTTCGCCTTCGCATATAAACCTTCCGAAACGCTTGGAAGGCCCAAAACGAAACTCTACAGCCATCCAAAACCTGTCTAGAAAAAGCTTACGACTTCCACTCAAGACATTGAAAGCAAACACCGGCAACTCCCCAGTTCAGGGCCGCCCTGCGCGAGGGAAGCAGACAGCACTGGCCCGTGGCTATCCAAGGCCTTGGGATGGTCCAGCGACGGCAGCGCTATAATCAGAGTTAAGCATGCGTGGTTTAGTGTATAGGGTTTGAGGGTTTACGATGTTGTTCTGACTAGACGAACACATAGATCCATCTGAGTGTTGCCGTGACCTTCGTAAGTAAGGCTCGAGAAGGTTGCAAGAAGGGCTCTGCATGTTGCTGCTGGTCTTTGGACGGATCTGTCAATTTGGTGTCTTGCGCCAACTGCAATGTTCTGCAGGGCCTCAGGCCATGAAGATATGAAGGGTCACTACGTGCTGCACGATGGAACTTGTTTCGCATAGAGGATCTACTCCTGTCTCCCAGATTTCATATTCTGCATGCTTGTGGTTGAACTGTCGGTTCAGGGTTGCTTCTGACCCTCGCGCTCTTTTTCATGCCTGAAGCTGGGGGTAGTGAGTAGTGTCGAGAGCGTTTCTTGGGCAGAAGGATAGAAGGGAGTCGACAAATTCTCATGTTATTAAAAGATGCTCCCGGGGGATGTCTCACTGCGTTCTCCAATACGGAGGTTTCCGATCATAGGGGACCCTAATATAGTACCCTACATAATAGGATCCTTAATATAAGGACCCCCAAATAAGGTACCCCTAATTTTCGACGCTACTCTCACAAAGGCGCGCTGCTCTTAATCTATGGTGCCCAAGGAAAGGCAGGTCGGAGCCCCTGTGCGGCCAGAGCTTCGGACTTTGAAGGTTAAAGTATATAGGGGCCTTAATCGTTATATAGGGGCCTTAATCATTCGAATGGGGCTCTGGGGTAGACTCCACTATAATTGTAACAAAAGGAACCCGTATTGGAAGTTATTTAGGCCCCGAAAGAATGCAAAGCACAAACCCCTAGGCCCATCGACCCGGAAGCCAGCAAGAACCTGCTGCTTCACAGCACGGACCTCTTGCTACCTTCGCCCTACCAAGCTGAGAGACCTTCCTTATCGGCGGAGCACCCGAAACTCAGAACGCTTCTCGTCTCAGGCATCATGTAGAGGCCTTCATAATTAGAATAGGGTTTGGGGGTCCTTCATAGTATATTTATAATAAGGAACCTCCAAATGTAATATAGGTAAATATTGAGGCCCCCATATTACTTCGAACACTTCCTGCAAGGAGGGAAGAACTTAAAGGATTCAGGCTGCGCGGGTCAAGGTTTAGGGTTTAGGGTTTAGGGTTTAGGGTTTAGGGGGGGTGTAGAGGTGGACAGTTTGCTAATGTTAGGGGGTTTAGGGTCTAGGGCTCTGGGCATAGGCTCAGGGCACTAGACCCGACAACCCCCATGCCCCTTTGCCAAAACCGGTTTAAGATGGCCTCCTCCTCTCGGAAACTGATGAAAGGATTCGTCTCATCCGTGGCCTCCCCCAAGAACCAAGCAAGCAAAATCGGGTTTGATGGGGCCGGAATAACTGGAATGTGTCTTCTGAGATGTCTTTCAGTATAATTATGCTTGCGGGCTTGTGGATTGGGGAGCTGGTACTCAACCAGACCCATGATTGCATACTTGTTTTTTCGGGCTTGATTTACGGGTGAGGGTTTGAGGTATGAGGCGGGGCTGCTGTGAGGCTTCGTAAATGGGGCTGCCTTGTCGTCACTCAGATCGAACTACGATGTCTTAAGAACTTGTTCTCTGCGCAGTTGTCATTTAAGATTGTCGCTATGGCACCCTTCCAAGCCATCTCTACTGACATACTCTACATGATTACATATCACATACGGTACATCATGCATTCTGTATCATATGTATGTATGTATGTATGTATGTATGTATGTATGTATGTATGTATGTATGTATGTATGTGTATATACACACATGTATATATATATATAAACATACATATACTCATGTGGCCCACAGGCAACGCAAGAGGCAACTGAAACCTGGAAACCTGGAACCCAAAGCTTGCGAGGACCGGTTGCAGGAAGCTGGCATCAACCCCTGGACCTTCGAGGGCTCAGGGTTTAGGGTCTTAGGGTCTTAGGGTTCAGGG